ATGAATGCTAATAACTCAAGTGGCAAGGTGCTGATAAGACATCTCAGCACTGCGTATCACAGTTCAAGACAGAGCTCTACCAGAGAAATTACAAAATACTGTAATTTGTGACTAATAAAAGTAGTGGGTTTCTTTATCAAGGAGAATATGACATAAAGCAAGAATTTAAACAAAATCACATTACTGTAATGATTCATATGACTGCTTTATTTATCTCAGCCCGTGGTCACAAGTTCATGTTTTCTGTATCATATCAGCAGAGTGAACTATTGGCTCCTAGACGTGTATTTTCCATGTCTCTTAATCTTCTTCCTACTTTGGATTTATTTGATTACGACTTCCTTATGTATGTATAAATACATGCAGGAAGTTAATACTACTTTTTGTTCAGTACTGCGTACCTTCTTTTCCTAGGAAACATGAAGCGGGAGTCTGGTTTTGTACACAAAAGACTCTCTCTGTCACTTGGGCGTTAATTTTGTACCTCCCAGGCAAAAGCTGTCTACTCTCAAACTCTTTTCTTCTTTGAAAGGTGATGGAGTGAAAGCAGGAACTGACTTCTCCAGTTAGTTACAGGAATTAATAAATGGGAACCTTTTCGTTTGACTCAGGGTATTTTTTTTAAATAATGTTGTTATATACTATAAAGAAAGATTCTATTTATACATTACAAACATCTACAGAAATCAAATGAAACTGATCTTTAGGATAGTTCAGCATTTTTCCTAATATTTCAAGATTTGCTTCTTGATAGTGGAAGTATTTAAAAATCCCTTACAAGAAACCGTAACTGTCATAGAAGTAACCGGTGTTACTTGGTATCTCATCCTGCTTTAACTGAAATGGGATCAAAGTCATACTCTGGAGAAGCATTTTCATTTCTGTAAGCATATTATTATCCTTTTAAAATTCACTGTTGTCTCTTCAGTTAGGGTCTCTGCCTCATTCCGAAGTCAATACATGGTTATGAATTTCTGGCATCCGTAGGTCAGACTGCTGTACAGAGCACTTAAAAGGCAAGCCATGTGAATGATGTGCACAGGTACCATATGCAAAAAAAAGATCAGGATAGGGCTGTAACTTACTAGTAACCATTCCTACAGTAAAACAAACACCTACTAAAACTTGGCTTTTAGTATGGCTATCATTATAAAACAACAATCACAATTATTTATTACTGTCGGCAACGGTTCACTTACCTCCTCAGGGTTGGCATTAAAGGTGAGACTGCCCTCATCTAGCTGCATATACAATTTTCTAAAAGAAAATCCTAGAGGCGGATTCTTATTGTATATAGAACAGTGACCCCAAGTGGATTTGCACAACCTATGAAAACAGAATTAGTCTAGTATCAAAATTCTGTTCTGTATTTCATGTATTTTACAGAAGCAAAATGTAATCAACACGCAAAGCCAAACACCCAAACTGTAGGAAAAGTCAGAAATAGGTTGCTTGTAACGCTTAGTTCTTAAGCCTTTTGCGTGTGTGTTGCTAAAGTCTTCATTTATCCAATGACTGTGTTCATCTCATGCAGGTTTTGGTGTATTTGAGTGCAGTCTCAAAATGTATCCCAGTAGGTGGCATGGTAAGGACATCCACGCAGCGGAGACCTCTGGCACTCCTGGTACCTGAACTTTGCCTAACTCTGCCAAGTTGTTCTCCTGCAGCAGTATGACAGCTTAGAAAATTTCTTGTGCCCCAAGATACCACATCTGCACAAAATTATGCTATTAACTCACTGCTTTCCCCATCTGTCCTTTTCCACCCGACTGGCCTTTTTCCAGTCTTGACCATTTGTAATTATTTAATCCAGCCCCATCCCCCTCTATCTTCCATCACGTCCCAGTTTCTTTCCCTTCTATCCCACCCTGACTCTGTTATCTCAGTTTCATCGGTTTCTGTCCCTCATCTCAGTCTCCGTGATGACACCATCTGAAATTCCTTTGGAACTTTCACTTTCTAGGCACTCCGATTGTCATCTAGATTCCTTGCTGAACCAGTAGTTCTGCTTCAACGCATCTGTTCCGTAAATAATTAGGCACCATGCTTAGGACCCAGCAGGTAGCCACTGAGGACACGGGAGAGACTTTGTTTTCAGTTCAGGAACCTGGGTCTTATTTGGACTGAGTTTGGAACTGCAGCCACAGGACTTGCCAAAGCCTAAACTGAAACACACCCAATACAGGTGGAATACTGAAGACTAAGATGTCTACAGAGATTATGCCATTGGACATTTTTATTAATTGGCTAAATCAGGACACGTTTTCACTACCAAAGTATATACCTTGAACTGCGTATTATTTGGGAAGATCTCACTAAAAATGATCGAGCTATTTCCCAGGATGAACTCGGAGGAAAATAATGTATTCCCCCTCGTATGTTAAGAATATATACTGCATACAATTAAGAAGCTCTAGTATATTCAAGCTTTGGTCCAGGGAATTTATCTGCATTCAGTGTGGTTTTGATACTAAGAACCGAGTACAATACAATGCCTACTCAACTGCCAAGCTATTTGACATACACGAACTTAGACGCTTAGCAGGATCTTCACTAGAATTCTTGTTTCCTGCCAAGACAACAGCAGAACAACTGTGACCAAGAAGCTATAATTGCATTATCCTATTGCTGAGCTCGTAAGGGAAGCTGCTTAATTCAAACGCAGAGGGGCAAAGAGAGAGATGAGGAAGGAAGAGATGTAGAGCACAGTGAAAGGAAAGGAAACAGGACCTGAACAGCAACCCAATTATTACAGTAATACTACTCACTGTCTGTTAAGGGGTAAGAATATGTTGTGAAAGAAGATACAAGTTCTGCTGACCATCTACTCTAAAGATAAGTATGATTTCATGAGTTTTTCGTAGTGTTGTAAAACACTAAATAGCAAAGAAAATATCTTTAATAAAATTTTAATCTTATACTATTTTATTTGATAGAACATTCCTTTATTTATTTCCTGGACATACAAACTCTGCATATGCTATATAAATGTGTTTCAGCAGTTAGACTGCAGAAATTCCACTTGGCACATTTGCAGAACTGACCTTTTCTTTTGCCCTTCCATCACCATCTTCCAAAAAAACACACACTTGAGTAGCTCTGAGACAAGCATAGTAGATGCTTGTTCTCATCACTTTCCACCTGGAGCTTCAGCTGAATAGGTTTGTTTGCTCAAGCCAGATACTTGTTTGAAGTTCAGAGAAGTAATAATACTTTGAGATGTGCTTTGAGCCAATACAAAAGTGAACACAAGTCCTTGTTTTGTTCCCCATGACATGTCAAACAACAGGTGTGTAATAACTAATACTCATGTATACTTGTACTAAGCACACTTGTGTACATAGTTATCTCCACTAATACCTTATAGTAATTAGAAATCCAGAGTAACACATTTTAAAAATATATTCATCTCTTCCCTATGTCGAATCTCATTCAATTTAGGAAACCTTTGCTAAGGTTAAAATGACAAAAAGCGTATGTTGAGACAAATTAAAAAAATCTAATAATTATTTTTACTATGTCCAGGTGATACTTTTGGTTTTGGGGTGGGTTTGGTGGTTTTTTTTTTTGCTTACCCTTGCCAGAGAAGCTCATCATTAGCAAGATCCTGCCAGACACATGAAGCTAGACAGAGGTCAGTTGCATTCAGGTATGACAAAATGGTAAAACTAAGCTCTGGTGGCAGCATTTCCAGGTTAATGAATCCTTCTTGTTCTTTAGATTTCCTTGTCTTCAACAGGTGGTAGATGTCAATGCCTCCTTGGGCTTGTTTGCGATGGCTTGTATTGGGAACATTGTTAGTAGCTATCCTCCTACCATGTTCTCTGGTAAGATAGCCTTGTCCGCCGTACCCTTGGTGTTGCAGTTGCTGGTTCCTAGCAACTCTCCAGAGTCCCTGACCCATCTGCGAGCCTGCCGGACATAAAATCCAAATTAAATGTTGACAGCTATTTACAAATACTTGTAAGACAGACTCCGCACACACTGGAAAAATAAAATCATAGGACTGACTAAAAATGGGGCTTTAACACTGTTAAAGGTTGGACATGAATGGAAACTGTTCTACATAAGCAGAAAGAAACAAGCCATGGATGTAGTGAGTGATTATGGGAGAAAAATTGAGAAATTAGAGAAATTACAGAAAAAAAAGCATCACCAAGGTGGAAGCAGACAAAAGACAGGTTCAGCTGGCTGGTGAAGTAGTTATCTACATAAGCATTCATTCAGGGGAAGTTCAAGAATTCATTTCTAGGTAAGGCTACAGTTGTGAAGAAACTCTAGTCACATGTTTCAGTTTAGTAATAAGATTTTACATAAATTCATCATTATTTTTATTCTTATTTCTTGTACAATTATATATTTGGCTTAATTTTTTAATCATACAGAGACAGGTTAAACCATGATCAACTGCTATAAATTATCAGGCAAGTTTAAAAAAATAAAAGCTTACCGAGTCACACCATAAATAGCATACACAATTGGCTGCAAGAATGTATGTATGAAGAAGGTATTCTCATTTTCTTGAGACCAGCATAAAATTTTTAAAAGTCCTTAGGGCTACCAGTAAAGTTGCTTCACCACAATCTGCCATTTAAAAAGTGGCAACACAAAGAGGAGCAGTCTGATGAAAGTGCGCCTTGGTAGTTTTCCCTGATGTTTGCAATGCATTTATGAAACTTATAGCTGTAAATAAAACCTATTTCTTCACAAGATGAAGAACTCTGCCTTTAGTTTTAATTGCCTAGCCAGGGTAAAATAAAAGGTCGCAACTTTTTTTAAAGAGACTTTCCCAGAGCTGCGGTTGCTCAGTGCCACCTTTTCCTGTGTTTGAGCAACTAAATCTCTCCAAGGAGAAGGAAGCAACTAACCTTCACCCCAAAGGAGGCTCACCAAGCGCTGTTACAATAAAATCAAGAGCTATTAAATGAATCAGCGGTAGGTGTGCCAGAACTGGCATTTGGGACTGCAAGCATAAACCCATCAAGACGCCTGCTGCTCCGAGTCCAGCTGCTGCGGCTATTGCCCCCGCAGAGCAGGCAGCGCGTACAGTGATGTGCAGTGCAGAACCAAGCTAAAAACCAGTTTGTGTGGGTAGGCAGTGACAGCCCAGGGCTGGAAGGAGGAGGGGAGGCTTTCCTAAGGGATGAAAAGAGCAGATAAGGGACATTTCTGAGCAAACACAACATTTCAAAAAGGGCTACTAGCAGTGCGCTAGAGGATTCAATGATAAAGTTCCAATTTTGCTAGGCACTGTGTGTGAGCCCATTAATTACTTAAGTACAGTACTCTGTAAACGGGTATCTCTTGGGAAGCTTCACCCAATTCTTGACCTTAGCCCTCCGAGTAAACCGAACACTGCCAATGAGGCATTACACTTCCAAATATGCAGATGCCCATGCCCAATTTAGAGGCTACGTTCACTCTCAGAAGATACCAGATGATCTGAATGACTGAACAACAATGAGCTTTCAATTCAATTATGTAAAAAACTCGGGGTTTTGAAAGAGGTAAATGTATACATACACATGTAGATGTAACTCAAATATAATCTGCACACTTTCTCAGTGTTGCTCTTCTTGTAAAACAAAACCAAAATCTTCCCGAAAACAGAATATTGACTCTAAACAAAATGATAAAGTAGCCAAACAGCAAAACACCAGTTAGGGACAGAGAGAACCAGGAGTGAGGGCTTGTAATTCCTCATTACTATTTCAAGTCCTTAACCACTAACACAACAGAAATCAGCAAGAAAAAATACAACAACATCGTAATATTAAACCTTACATTTTACAGAAGATGAAATGAAAGAACCTGTTCTATGTAAACTGTGTACGTCAAGTAGGGAGAAAGAAAAGTTCTGTTAAATGCAGAAATCTGTTTGTTGAGGTAACTGCAAGACAAATTAAGGAATTTATTTTGCTGGTATTTTTGCCATCTTTTCTGACGTTATATCATTATAATAAAGCCCCATGTCTATACACATTTGTTAACTCCCAATTGTTACAATCTTCTAAAAATACTAATTATTTGCACATAGTTTAAAGAAAATAAAAAATAAAAAGGAATAACAGGAAATTCAAGGCTCTGAAGATCATTAGGAATCATACTGTGGCAAGTTTCATACTCATAATACAGCAGGAAGACGAGCGAGAAAGACCAGCAGCATTACCAGAAACAGTTCACAGAAACGCTGTGACCAGTCAATTATCAAGTAAACTTTATGCTATCAGGTAAGCATCTAGCAATTTTATAATAGCTTTCAAACCTCTTCAAAGTCAGATTCTCTTTCTGTTCTACATGTGCTACTGTAAAGAATATGGCAGTGGTCACAGCGGACCAAGTTTTCCTACTTAGCCCTAAATCAAATATCCAAATTTTAGTTACTAATTTAATACTTTATTGCAATATTGACCTAGAAGTTCCTGTTCACAAAATACATTCTATTGAGGAATACTGAGCTAACAAGAATATCAACAGTTCTTGTTGGCGCTCACAGGGTTTCTCTCCCCACGCAAAAGCTAACTGCTGTATATCACCACCAACATAATCACTTCTAAATTATTTAACACTGGAAGTGGTCCCAGGACAGAAAAAGACCCCAAAACTATGTCATTGAAGAAACTAGCCGCCTTATAATGTACTCGCATACTCATAAAAAAGATATCACTGCAGGAAATCATTTAAGAAGTCTTTTTTTTAACGTAAAAAATTATAAAAAAATATGTATTTGCTATTTTAAATACCAACTGAAGAAATTTCAGAGAAGAAACAGTGAGATGCCATTTAATCCATTCCAGAACCAGCTGCCAGAAATCCAGAAGATTTAGTATGTGGGCAGCTATTCAGCAGCTTACATGCTGTTTGTTAGATCACATCTTATTTTCCCCATCACACAATTACTTTCAGCTTTATAGTGATCTAGGATGAATGCTTTGAGAACTCACTCATAAAACAAGATGAGTAAACTCATTGTTATTATAAAGCCCTTGAAGTAATGGTGTCCAGAATTATATTTTTAAATTATTTTGAACATACATTTTCAATCTCCAGATTCAATAGGCCACTCAAATGTATGTTTCCAAACTTCCAAATACGTAACTTTATCTAATAACTGAAACCTCTTGATAGCTTGGCTGTAATAAACTATCACAGTAAAAATAACACCACGCTTGTTTACAAATTGCTGATCTTCTCTGGCTCTGTCTGATACCTATCAGAGTCTGATTTCAATTTTAATCATGTCTTCTTCACGTTACTTTATTACAGCATAATAAACTCTTTTGCAGTGTTGAAGAGCATGACAGCATACTAAAGGCTAAACGTAAACTAGATTAATGAATGCCATATTGGTACTGGCTTCTGCTTTATTAAATAAAGACCTGCATACGCTCTCGGTATAACCCCCTTCCACTCCACGGTAGGTAACCGGGCCCTACAGCTGCTGCTTTGCGACCACAATCATCCGAACAGGAAAATGTTCCTTCCTTCGATGTCACCGACGCTGAAGCCTCGTTCATGGCAGCCGCGTTCCTAACCGCGGCCTGCTGATCCCCCGAACGTCAG